AAAAAAAAAAAATAGTCAAAATCATTATACTGCAAAAATAGATCGGGTCTCTACTTATGTTTTAAGTAAAGAGCTTCTTTTTCATACTGTCACTTAACTCTGACTTAATCCAAATCTATTTATATTAAGAAACATTTTTAATATGAAATATATTTAATACATAGCATGTAAGACTAAAACATGGTGAATACTCTTGACAATTAGCAATGTATCAAAATGTTATTCAACAATTTACACCATTAAAATTATCCAAATATCAAATTTAACAAACACATTAACAAATCAATATATGTGCTTATCTGACTAAACTTAAGACGGTGCCTAGGGCTGAGCATGAGACTCGGAGAATTTTGAACCGTTCTGATAACCAAACTGAAATAACTCCGAACCAAAAAATAACCGTTGACCTTTTGACTTTCTCCGAACCCAACCGAACTGAAAAAATAATTAATACGGTTCTGAAGATTTCACAAATGTCCGTACCGAGAACCGAACCAAAACGTCATGTACTGTACCAAACCGAAGAACCAAAATTAAGAACCGAATTATAAAAATAGATGTGTGATATTAATATATTTTATGTCAATTTTAATCCTATATAATTTGAAAATTTTTAAAATGGAAATAAAATATAGTTAAAACAATTAAGCTTCACTTAAATTTCATGTCTAGTAATACTTGAGATCTACAATTGAATTTTCCTGGTGTAAGAAAAATATATTTAAAATGTTATGAAAGGATAAAAAAATATACTTTTAAAGAAATATTTAAACATTACATAATTTGTCGATACTAGTCTTATTCTATCTTATAATTAACTAACATGCTATGAAAGGTTAAATAAATATTACTTTAATAAAAAATTATATTATATTTTGTTTGAATTTTGATTTTTCAATGTGAGTTGCACAAATTTAGTCTTAATTAAAATTTAGAGTTATTTCTCCGGTTGATTTAAATATAAAATTGTTAGCATGATAAAGTATTGATGAATGTTGGATTATTTAAAAAAACATATAAAATTCAAAATATAACTAGGTGGCCATTTAAAAAAATTAAAAGATAATTAAAAATCTCCGAATATCCAAACCGAATCGAACTTTGTACGTTACCGAAGATTGAATTTTAGTAATCTCCGAACTTCGGTACGGTTGCAAAGATTTATCAATCTACGAACCGTACCGACAGATTCACGTCCTTACATGTGCCTAATAATCCAATATTAATGGGGAAATTTACACATATAGACCCTCTACATCAAATATTTACATATATACGTTTTTTATAACTTTTTATCAAAATAGGATTTGAATGGGATTTTTTTCATGTATACGAATAGCATATCTCTAATTAATCTTGCTCTTTATTTCTCTCTCTTTCACCATATATTAAACCTCCAATTAATTCTCTCTCTCTAATTAATTTCTCTCCAATTAATTCTCTCTCCATGATATATATATTTCTTCTCTCTCTACAAAAATATTAGACGACATGATTCACAAGGTGATGGATTTTACAAAAGATTTGTTGCAAAATATTATGTTAAAATCAGAAAATTATACGTAAGATAAACATCAGATAAACAAGTCTATAGAAAAAATATACATAAGATAAACAACTCTATAGCAATCGGAGCCGTTGCAGAAACTTCACTGCATCCTGATCATTTTTCCATACCTTGACATAATATATACGTATATATATATATATATATATACACAAGATAAATAGAATATAAACATATTTTTGATTATGCAATAACCAACACGAGAACAAAAGTGTATATATATACATAAAATAAACAGTATATAAACATCTTTGATTCTGCAACAAGCTTGTAACATGAGAACAAAAATTGTATATAAACACCATATAAAACATTTCTCAAAATCCAATATACATATAACATGACAAAAAATAACAATAATAAAAAAAATCCACCGCCGCCTCTGGTGGCACCACCACCCCGGTGGTCCCCCAACTCCGGCGAGTACCTCATGAAGGTCGGCCTCGGCACCCCTCCCGTCGACATCCTCGCGATCCTCTTGGCGATGGGCTGCTCTTGCAGCGGGTGGACATCCCGTCGACATCACCGCCTCTGGTGGCACCACCACCCCTGCTTGCTCGCGATGGGCTGCTCTTGCGGCGGGTGGCTCGTCGGACATGAAAGGATAAGATAGATTAGGGATAAGATGGATGAGAGAGATGAGACATGAGCGATAAATATGAGAGAGAAATTTCTTAGTTGATCTAACGGTTACAAATCACGACAGAATGGTTCCGTAACGAGATGTTAGAATCTCCTCTTAATTCTATTCTATAAATATGGAAAGAATGGAACATATCACTCTTCCCAATCTATATCTATATAATGGACCAATCTTTATTGCCATAATTGACATGATTTTGAGCGGGAAAATTTTTCGTCTATATTTGGAATTTAATGAATATTTATTTATTAGCAAATATTGTACATGAAAACCATTATTAATTTTTATACATTCAATGACTATTACTCATTAACTAGAAATTGGCTTAAATTAAAATTTTGACCGTAGATTTATTAGATATATTTTCAATAAGATCTTATATTAATTTAATCGTAATTTATTGACACAATTCAAAAAACTATTATGGAAATTGATTTGGTTAAATATATTATCATCTATGGTTGTAAGCATTAATTTAATTAATTATATTCACTATTCAGAAGTAGATAAATATTTAATAAAATAATCAGAATAACTATGTTTAATAAAATATTAATAAAGGTTTCAAAAATGTAGTCAATTAACTGAAAAAAGGTACATCTCCATTGAATATATCATATGTAGTGATAATACTATTGAAAATTTATATAGTGTACTAATAAAAATAAAATCTGATGGTCGGGTAAATTTATATATATAAATTTCACCTTAGAAGTATCTATGTACATTAAAAACTATTCAAATTTTAAAAATTTATATTTTTTTTCTTATATACTATTTTATAAAATGAAAAACATGTTAATAAAAAAAACAATGTATAATAATTTAGATTATGGCACTTGGTAATTATGGAAAATATATAATATATCTAAATAATTGAATAGATATTGTGTAACTCATTATATAGGTTGAAAAAATGAATTAAAGAAATAAATGTACATAAAAAATAGAAACATAAAAATAAAATATTTAGCCATAAAAAAATTGTATGTTGCATAAGGGTTAAAGTCACTAAAAATATCAATTTATTTATCAAAGTTTTTAACATTTAATGCACTTAATAATTATAGTGGAAGATAAATGTTACGGGTTAATCATTGGTCAATTATCAAGCAATGTGCAAATTATGATTGTTAAAGAAATTATAAGAGTATGATAAATAATAATTTTATAAGTACATACAAGTAATTTGTATGCACATATCATATGACCATATACATTTATAATATTTTATGAACTTATAAATAATAAAATTTATATATTAAATTGTCAAAACCTACAAAAAAAAAAAAATAGAAATTAACAATAATAGTACATAAATATATTTCATATTAATACTGGATAGAATATTGTGGATGATATAATTTTATATTGTTTTAAATAATTTTATAATATTTAAATAAAAAATATTTTTTATTGCACCCCGTGCATCGCACGGGTATCAACACTAGTAATCATGGAAGAGGATAACCATCATTAAGTAGTAGGTAGTTACTTTTACAAAAATTAAAACTTCTCTTAATTAAATAAAAAAAAACTTATTTATGATTAAAATTTAATGATTTCGTATTATTAATATTATTTAACAAAGTAACACTAAAATTTGTAATTTTCTTATATTAATGTAGCTTCACGTCCACTATGAAGTGGAATCGCCCCCAAACGAGTAAAGACCAAACCCAATTCCAATACAACTTTTCGTTTATTTATTTTACCAATCACAATGTAATTATCATATTTTGGACTTTAATTCTTAAATAGGTAAATCGAAATTCGAAATACCATAGTAATTAGTATTTACCAAACACGGTTTTGAGTATTGCAATTAATTAATTACATTACATATTACATATATCTGCACAATTAGTGCCTATATTAAAGGGGGCCAGATGCAGTTGGTCTCTCCTCCCTCCATCTCTCCCTCCATCTCTCTCCTCTTTCTCTCTCTCTCTCTCTCATGGCCTGGAAAGTCCGAACAACGTTCATATACGTCGTCGGATCGGTCTTCTTCTGCGCCTCTCTCTACCACCACTACTTCCGCCACGCCTTCGCCTCCCAACGCATTACGCCCTCCCCCGCCGTCCTCACCGTCGCAGCCTCCGCCGCTAATTACGCCATCCGTGAAAACCTCACCGATGCAGCTCTGCTTCCCCCGCACGACCCCATCGCCACCCCCTCCCCATTGCCGCCGCCGCCTCCCACCACCTCCATTCTCCTCCCGGACTGGGAGGTTCTCGTGATCGCGTCGCCTGATGATCCAACCATCCTCCCCCGGAATTCCGATGGATACTTCTGTTTATTCGACACCGGCGAGCTATCACAGGCGAAATTCACCGGCGTCCTTCCTTTCCCCGATCGAGCGACCTTCAGCTGCGTCCTTCCCCTTAGAGCTCGCCGGAGGCTCCCGTTCAGGCAGCCGATTCTCACCAAGTCTCCCAAGGCCGACGAATCGCCATCGGACGCGCCACCGGTCCTTCGGTGGTCGTTCGTGGTGTACGATTCACTGACAACGGACGAAGACGTGGTCCTGTTCGCAAAGGGCGTGAACGTGCGGCAGGGGATCAATCGCGAACCCCAGGAATTCCGCTGCGTGTTTGGGGACAGCGTGATTGACGGCGTCAGAACCACCGTCACTTCCTCCATGCAGGAGGTGTTCCGCTGCAAACGCCCCAATCTAACGGCGGTTCTTGGTGAATCGGGCCGCCCAGTAAAGGTCTCCCTGGAAATTGTCTCAGAAAATCTGGTGGTCCCATCGGTAGCATACTACACACCCCCGCGCAGGTTAGAGTCAGGGAGCGGCAAATCACTACTGTGCGCCACCACCATGGTATATGATGTGGCCAAATTCCTCCGCGAGTGGGTTGTGTACCACTCCAGAATTGGGGTCGACAAATTCCTTCTGTACGACAATGGCAGCGACGATGATCTGGCAAAATCCGTGGACGAGCTCGTAAAAGAAGGTTTCGACATCAGCACATACTTTTGGCGGTGGCCCAAAACACAAGAGGCAGGTTTTTCACACAGTGTGATTTATTCTAAAGATGCATGTTCATGGATGATGTACTTAGATGTGGACGAATTCATATATTCCCCCAATTGGCACAACATCTCTCAACCATCAAACTCACTGCTGCGCTCTTTGATCACACCAAATTCCTCAAAATTGGGACAAATCAGCATCGGCTGCAATGAGTTCGGGCCGTCCAATCAAAAAGTGCATCCCCCAATGGGAGTGACCCAAGGCTACAATTGTCGGAGGACACACGAAAATCGGCACAAGTCCATCGTGCGCTTGTCCGCTGTTAACGACTCGTTGCTTAATGCAATACACCATTTTTACTTGAGGCCAGGGTACAAGACCAGAAAACCGGGTATTCACGAGATGGTGGTGAATCACTACAAGTACCAAGCGTGGCCCGAGTTCAAGGCCAAGTTCAGGAGGCGTGTGTCGGCTTACGTGTTGGATTGGACCCAAAAACTGAACCCGCATTCAAACGATAGGACGCCCGGTTTAGGGTACGAACCGGTCGAGCCACAGGGGTGGCCCAAGAAGTTCTGTGAGGTCCACGATAATAAGTTAAAGGATTTGGTGAGGAGATGGTTTCGAGTCGGGTCGGGTTCAGGGTCGAAAATGGCTTGGCAGAGGTGATACTAGTCATATGAATTTGCCATTTTTTACAAAAAAAAAA